CAAGAGAAATGACGTACGTCAACGTAAAACAGTATTTTTAGGACCAGTGTGATCTCACTGATTGTTTCTCTAAATTTATTTAGAGAAAAATAAAATTCTACTAAGAATTTTAATCCTGAGACCTTTAAATACAGCATTTCGATATTGACGTATGACATTTCTGATGAAAATCTTGAGAGAAATGAGTGCCTCCATAGTCACTCAGTTACGTTATATTTCATCCGCGTCGCCTTTTCAGTTTATATTCTAAGGTAAGTACTACAAACTTTTTGTCGCGGTAAAAATTTATGCGAATTTAAGTATGTTATGATATTTAAGGGGGTGATTATTTGGGCCAAGAAAAGCTCATATAGTCAAAGATTCCAAAATGCTCTATTTTTAAATTACAAAGTGTCAAAAGTTTGGGAAAGGAAATCGATTTTTGCTGATATTTTAAAAATTCGGCGAGCTGTTTTCATGGCATCTGGTACTTCTAATAAGTGACTATATTTTTTAAACTCTTGAAATATTTTTAATTCGACCATGAACGTATATAGAGAAATTAACAAAAAAATAAATGCACTTTAATCTTTCAGAAATATGTGATAGAAATTTAGAAGTCTTGTAACTAAGTTTTATTTGTAGGCGCAGGTGCGTTAACTAAGCACTTTGCCCTTTGTGTGTAATTAAGAATATTATTACCCAGAAATTAGTTCTGTAAATCTCTTTTATAAGAATTTGGTGTAAAATGTAGACAGTCTTTGGGAAGTGGGTTAAATATATCTTCTCGTTTATAACGATTTATCTGCAATTCTACAATACATTTTTGTTATTAACTTATTTTCAATCCATAGCTCTCTTCTCCAAGTTTTAGTGGCGCCCTACTAAAAAGACAGAATAACTCAATAAATGGTCGTTATATTCCTTCGAATAATTATTTTCAAATAGAAAAATACTAAGTGGTTTGTAAAAAAATTTCAATAAAATTTGGTTCCGGAGGCATCATGTTATAATTAGTAATGGACAAGGTTTGAAGAATTTTTTCTCGATAAGAGTGATTTTATTATATTTTTTTCTACACCCACATGAATATTAGCTTATCTACGCACAGATTACAAAACGAAAAAGTATGCTATTGCCTTCAACTGAACGAATATATTTCATATCCATTCTAGGTAGTCAGAACACTGCAAAAAAATGAAACCCACCAATTACCGTTCATATTTTGATCAACCGACTGCTATTATTTTTAAAATTTTAAATAAGGGACAATTCTGTCAAACTAGTTGTCAGTATATTTTTAGTTATTGAGATTAAACATACATCAAAATAGGTTATTCTTGTGTAGAATCGATAATTAATAGCATTTTTGTTTTTATTTCGTCTATAATTATAAATAATTTGATAATTTGAATAAAACTATATGAAGTCAATTTAATTACGAGTATTTAAGCTAAAAAATAAAAAAATAGGTGGTCCTGTGGTAGCGGTCTTGCCTTCCACACGGGAAGACTAGAGTTCGATTTTCAGATGGGGAAAAATGAGATGAACTACTTTTTTTTTCGTATTTTAAAAATTATTAAAAGTCATAAATTGTTTTAAAATTAGTTATTTGGTCTTAATAACCTAAAATATTTTTTTATTTGTAAATTTTCGTTAGTTGGTCGTAGAAAAAATATACTGTACAACTCGAGTGGATTGTCCACATCGCACTCAAATTTCGTCTTCGTGCGATATGGCCATATCCACTCTTGTTGCACAAACTACTATTTGCTGGTGCTATCAAACCACCACGATTTTTTATATTGAAGAGCGCAAGGTTGTCTCTCGTACAATCAGAACAAATTAATAGTATAACTCCATGGAATTTAAATATTTTACAGGTTTTTTTTTTTTAAGTTTCGACTAACAAAACCAAATATGTAGTCCGCCACATTTTCCGAAATGAATGATGTCGGAAGCAGTCTTTTTATTCCTTGAAAATGATCATTACATTTTTTATCAATCCAATGTCATTGACAGTAATTGGTGGGATATTATTCTCTTACTCGAAAAGGTTGACAAAATGTGCCGAGATTGTTCACTTTACATAAAAATTGTTTTGCTCTACAGCTACGTTTAAATTAATTTTGTGTAGAATTTGGAGTGGCTTCAAGTTAGGTAGATCGACAGCTTTTATTTGGTATCCTACTAAATATAATGCCCTTGGATTTTGGAGTACCACACATTCAGTCAAAATATGAATGAAGGTTTTACCCTCCTCCTCACAGAATCTGCACTATATTCTACTACTCTCAGTTCACTAAGGTGTCCTTTGAGTCGGCAATGCTATGTAAGGATCCCTGTTACACTGCGTAGCCTGTTCTTGCTCAGGCAGGTACAGGCTCCCAATATTTCCTTGTTATATTCACCCAGAAGTATCAGCCGGTCTTAACCCCAAGAGATTGATTGTTCCAATTATCGGTTCTTTTACTGCCCAATTTTTTTTTTGAATCTATCCTAATATTGTGTTAGTGCTTATACCGCAAAACAGCTCAAGTTCCACAAAGAGTTTTTAGCCCCTTTCCTTGCGAGACTATCTGCAATCTCGTTACCCTTTACCCCGTTATGTCCCAGGACCCAAGTGAGAGTAACTGTATTTTCTTCGTCTAGTCCATTCAGTTTTTTAGGCATCTGCAGACCATTTTTGAGCTGAATACGTAAGAGCTCAGCGCTTTGATGGCTGCTTACGCCTACAAGACGTTTGGGTATCTACCCAAACTTATAGAGTGCCTGTTCTAGTTCGTTTTATATTTTGGGAACCATCCGTATACCACTGAATAGCACGTCTTTCGGTTGTTAAGCATGATAGATTTTGCCGCCATTCTTTCTTGCAGCCCTGTTCTGTGGTTTTGAAGTTTTTCACAAAACTGTACTTTCTCATTTCGTCCTGGGGCATATCTCAAGTATCTTCGGTCCTGAAGTTAAGAGACTTTCGTCTGATTACTCAGTTCCTGATCATCCTATATCTTGTTCTTTTTGTCACGTTCTCTATCATTAAATGCAGATAGTAAGAGAGCCTACTGCAAATTTCGACCGTCATCTGATAACGAAATTAAATATGCTCCAAAGGCATGTAACAACATTGTACTTTACCAAATTGCACCTGTGCCAATCCCTATCCTGAGCAAAGTGGCTATAAAAATTATTTTATATTCAAAAAATCACATAAGACATGACAGCGACAATTGTGTTTGCCCTGAAAATTACATTCATTACAAAATTCATTGTGAACCTATCTTTTAAACCTGAATTATTAATATTTTTACCTACCTTTTAAATCTTGTGCATGTGTGAAATGAAGAAGGATAGCATTGTATAAACCATTTGCAGAGATAGTCAATAATTATTATAAACTCTTGTTAGACAATTCTTTTAAACCATAATCATAGTAGTTTTTTTGTTGTTTCTATGGCAACCTGTAAAAATTAATCACAACAATGGGTATACAAATATATTTTTAATTCAGCAAAAATTGATTCATATTTTTAACGATTTTTACGTACTAATCGTTGTTAGATGTTTTTGTGCAATGTTAAGAGGAAGAAAATGTTTATCTTTAATGATTATATATCAAGATATATTTGAATATGTTATTTTCTGGAAACCTAAAGGGCAAACAAAATTAGCGCTGTCATACCTTGTGATTTTTTTTTAATATAAAATAATTTTTTTAACCACTTTGCTCAGGATTAGGATTGGCACAGGTGCCATTTGGTAAAGTACAATGTTTTTACATTCTTTTGGGGTATATTTCATTTCGTTATCAGATGACGGTAAGCAGTGGGCTCTTGGGCTAAGAGGGGTAAGGTTTGGAATCATGTTTTGGTGTATTCTAGTCTTCTTTGGACTATATCACACATGATATTTCCAAACTGGCCCCCGTCTAGCAAATGTGACTATATGTCGTCGCTTTGACAAGGTATGTCAAATTCAGTCAATATACACAGAAGTTCGTCTACGGCTAGGCTCCACATTAGTGGGGATAGAACTCGGACATTCTCTGGTTGTGAAGATGGAGTCCTGCCCTATCTGTGTCTCTGCAGTTCTCGTAGTTAGCTGTTCACGGCCGACTTACCTTACTTAATTTTAGTGATTTTGGGATCATTTTTCATTCTGTATGTGTGATTAGATTATACGACTGCGGATATATTCCATTAGCTTATTGATAGTTTTTTTTATTTTGTACTGCGCCATGTACCATGAATTTTTATTCTCGTGTGTCACAAAAGTGTAAGTGTATTTGTATAACCGCACAACTAGTTTCGGCTAAATTAGACAATCAACAGGTCCGTAACACAAAAAACTATAATTAGAACGAATTTACCTTTTTTACTTTTCTAATTATAGCTTTTATTTTATAACGGGCCTGATTGTCGCCGAATTCGGCCAAAACTAATTGCAATTTCTAGGCATCTGGCTAGCTAGCGTTTCAAACGTCCACAATTTTAAATCTATTGACCGAATATGGACCAGAAGAGGCAAAGAAAAGTTCTTGCCTGCTATAGTCCAATGACGGATTCCTTAGCAATGTAGCGTATTCTCGTCTTTTAGCCTACATTCGACGAGGCGAACATGCTTTACACCTACTTGCCGCGGCGGCATCTATACATCGGGCTATTTCGGCAAACCTCTTTTGGCTAAGTACGAATATTTTTTTCATCGTTTTGCACAAAAACGCACTTCATCCTACTTAATTGTTTACATACCATTAAATGACAAATGGAAATGTAGGTTGTGTTAAATAACATCCGGTTCGTCATATTGTTTGTACAAAACGGCCAATTTTTCGGAACGCTTTTTAGTCGGCTATATCCTATCCAGTCAATATTACAGAACAGCAGATGTGGATGAAAACCATAAAACTATTAAACAGGCTCAGATGATATCTGGGAAATTTTTAAACTCAGCAGAAGTTCCAAATCTACAAATCTAACAGTATTGATATTCGTCTCTAGTAACCCAAAAAACCAAAAATTGCAGTTATTAAAAAAATTACTTTATTATAACAAAAATAACATATATAAACTTTATAATTAAAACATATACAATATGTAATAAAATATTAAAGGTTAATAATAATATTGGTTAAATACTGACAATAATGTGCTACAATTGTACATCACCAAAAAATTGACTTTGTCGCTTTTTGGGAGCTCTTCTGAGACTACCGAGAATATTGAGTAATTCAGAGACTGCCTTAGGTTGATCTTTGTTTTCTTGCTTTTCTTTGTCTTTTTTAGCTTTTCTTAAGGTAAACTGACCGGCTTTTATGGCGTTTATAATGTCTTCATTAACTCCAGGGGCTCCAGGTTTCTTATCGGGAGATATGTTTTCCTAAAACAAATCAGTTATTACATTACATGAATTCAAATTGTTTAAATGACAGTTGCATATAAAGTAACATATATGCTTCAATCACTTCCTATTTTGTAGGAAGTTGTCCTAATTTTTGTGTATATATCTAAGATATTCATTAACCCTTATTTTAAATGTATCGTCAAAGCGGAACACGATGATGTGCATTCTAAAGTTGGAGGCTGAAATCCACGAGGAGGCCATTGGCGATTTAAGCTAAGTGATATTATTACAATAATTGTACAAATTTTATTAATGTGTAATTCAAAAATATAATTCCAAACATCACAATTTCAGTTACTGAGATAACCGTGGTAACAGCAGTAACCGCTGTAATCCAATCTTAAGGTTTATATTACCCTACAAAAGTTACGTTTCGCTAACGCGAGATACAGTTACGATAACACAGTTTATGGTATAAACTAGTGGTAATCAATATAGGTTTCTGTAACTACAAATATTGCTAATTAGAGTCGATACGTAAAATAAAAGAGGGCAACGCTATATGTAGATATTACAGAGTTATTAGAACAATATACGTTATTGCCAAATATATACACATAGGTACTGCGTTCACTGTTCCAGTTTAAGAGCAATCCAGTCCCTTCTGACGTCACACCGCACGAATCTCATGACCTCCCTTTAAAGTATTTGGAACCTTGTTCGCTACATAAATTTGGCAATGTTGTGTGTCGTACCCTGAAGGGTCCGATACAATTCAGGTATAATTCGTTGGCTATCGCCGCCTACTGGGGGTTAGTGGCTTGTTAATATACGAATGTAGGAATACCATTTTTAAACCAAACATCTGAAATATTTTTTATTTATTGATAGTTATAGATGATATACAGGGTGTCCCGAAATTAGACGGTCATATTTTAACAGCGTAATCTACATCCTAAAATAGTAGTAAAAGTTCATATAAACAGGTCCGAAAACTTTTCTTTTCCGAGATACAGGGTGTTAAAGGTGAAGTCCTGATACCACACTTTTGTAAATATTTTCTAAACGTTTTAAAGATAATTAGGTAAAATTTGTTACAAATACTTACCTTTTTACGCTTCATTTATTGGACTAAACCCCAGTTATTGATCATCTTCTTAGGTGGGTAAATTAAGGGGAGCTTAGGGTAAAATTGCCGTGTGTATCTGTATGTCTATATCCACCATAACTCATGAACCGATACACAGAAAAACACTAAATTTTAAACTTGTTTTATTTCGGCCTGACGTGAAATAATTAGATTTTGGACAGAGTCGGAACATCTGGGGTACTTTATGGGAGGCCGTTTTTATATTTTATTGAATATATCTGTTATTTATGTTTGGAGAAGAAAATTATTCAAATAAAAGTTACTTCTAATATTATTATCTATAATTTTTGTTTTATGTCAAAATTTCCTGAAATGGTCCGTATTCGAGAAATTTGACAAAATGTGAAAAATTCTAAACTAAACTAAAAGTTGTTTGCGATATCGATCTCTATAATTTTTGTTTATACATGATTTTTCTAAAATGGACCGTAATGGAAAAATTGTAAGAAAATTGCTAAATTTAAATTTTTTAGTATTTTCGTTTTCAATGAATAACTATAGAAAAATGTTTCGAGGTAGATAGATGTATGTGGAAAATGTATATATTTAGTTTATCCTCTAAACATTTATAGAGGTACTGCAATAAGTTGTACAAAATAACCAGAAAAAGCCTATAAAAACTAGATAGGAAAGTCATGTGTTGGGCACATCAGATTTTTTGACTATAAAATTTGGAAAACCAATTTTTTCTTTATAATAACGCTACATTTGTTGCATCTCGCTAAGACGCACCATTTTCACGAGAAAAGCATGTTACCTTATTCGAAAGTGTAAACAATAATTAGTGGGCCTGTAGAATTAGAAATTTTATTTTTTTTTAACTTTGAAAAACCGGTAACTAAAGAAATTTTAGAAAATATTTCATCTGGACTTCACTTGTAACACCCTGTATCTCGAAAACGAAACGTTTTCGGACCTATGTTCATATAAACTTTTACTCCTATTTTTAACCGACTTCATAAAAGAAGGAGGGAGGTTCTCAATTCGTCGCAATATTTTTTTAATTTTTTTTTTATGTATGTTCAGCGATAATTCTTTAACACGTTGTCCGATTTTAATAATTCTTTTTTTGTTAGAAAGGGGGTACTTCAGGGGTGGTCCCATATAAATTTGGTCAAAATCTAATAATTGGGTCCATGACAAAATCCTCAAACTCTTAATTTTTTATGTATGTTTAGCGATAATGCTTTACCACCTTGTCGGATTCATATGATTCTTTTTTTGTTAGTAAGGGGATGGTTCCATATAAATTTGGTTAAGATGTGATGACGGCATCTGCTCATTTTTGAAGTCGGTTTTTTTTAGATTTTTAATTTCTAATACTTGTTTTTTTTATTTATTATAGATACAAACTAGCTACAGCATTGAATATTTTATAAATAATTATCATATACATAAATAATTGGATAATTGCAAATAAGTAAAGTTCTTTTTAGCTAAATGATTTTAGATTTTAGTTATATTTAAATTAATAAAATCATAAAATATTTATCCTTGTTTAGTTAATATCCATTATTGCAATTTAGATCTATAAAGACCTATCGAATTTAGGTTTTTAAATTCCACCGGAAGTGCGTTAAATATTTTAGGACCGAGGTATAAAACAGTATTAGTTTCGAAAGCAAATATAATTATTATCACAGTATAACACTGATTCGTGATTCGTATCCGTGATCCGAAAAAAAGGATTCGAATCACTTGATTCGAATCCTTTTTTTTTGAAAAAGGATTCGAACATTGGATCCGTGATTCGAATCACATCTCGTGATTCGGATTCGTGATTCGAATCCATTTTTTCGAGGATTCGTCCCAGCTCTGGGTGACGGCACCTGCACGTTTTTGAATTCGGTTTAATTTCTAATACTTGTAGGATGTAGATTACGCTGTTAAAATATGACCGTCTAATTTCGGGACACCCTGTATATTGGAAATTCAAAATATGAGTTATGACGTAGCGGTGTTTTTCTAATTGTAATCGGACCCTAGGTATATGGATACGGAAAGTGATGAATTGGAGATAGGTAAATTGTATTTATTGTATTAAAGGAACAACAAATATAAGTACAATTAAATAAGTATATTAATATAACAATTTTTTAAAGTCTGTATTAAAAAATTTTTTTTTTCACATAGATTATTAAATTAAAAAAATAACTATTAAAACACGAAATGTTAATTTTTTCTCTTTTACAACACAAAATATACAATACTGTTGAATAAAAATTTTCTCTTGGCAGCAGGTGGTTTTTGTGACGCGATAATTATGATGCTTTGCATCTCATGAATTAAAGTTAATTCTCTTTCAATCTTAAGGTGTTCATACCCCTTATAATTATCGGACAAGAATATCTCAAAATATTTAAATTTTGGCAAAATAAATTAGGCAATAATATCTATAATATGCATATATTTTAATGTTTTAATTCCTTCCAGTTTCCCAAAAAAACTAAAAGCCCCTAATGTCTTGTTAATGATTTCTTAAAATTCGCCAAAATTAGTGGCTAAAACGCTTCGTTAAGTGCTATCTTCTGGTGTAAACTGGTGTAAATTATTGCAAGAAACGAATAATGACAGAGTGTACGATACGATAGTTACAAGCCCGTTACACTATTTTCCACTCAATTTATTAAAAAAAAAATAATAATAAATTAGGGTGTTAATTTTTTTTCTCTGAAGCTATTGGTTTTGGGAAAAAAATTCAAGAATAAAAAAAATTAAATAAATCAAGGATTTCATAAAAGTTCATCTCGAAAAAAAGTTTTGATATGAAATTAAGTAAATGTTGCTAATTTCACCCCCCTATAATGTAACAGAAATATTGAAAAAAATACCCGTGGTTAGTCCTTTGCGATTACAGAATTTCAAGTTTCTAGCTTTACTGAAATTTTAGAAAAAAAAATAAAAACTCAATTTTAGTCACCACTTTTTAAGGGTGATATCTCGAAAAGGGGTGGGCTGAGGAAAGTTTGTTATAGAAAAGACCAATCTTAATTTCATACGAGCACTCAGTTCCTGAATTTTGTCGCATGTATTTAGAAACACCCTGTATATATTACACATTTTTTAAGCGTGCAAAATTCTTGACAATCTCTTTTCCCTAATTGGCACATGTCGTATTTTTCTAGGATTTACTAACTCTGGCAGCAAACAAATAAAATAGAAATTTGTCAGCTGTGTATTTTTGCCTTTTCATAAATTAACTAAAAACTAAATTAAACAAAAACCTAACAACGCCTCAACAACAAACTAAGACGATCACAATAATTTCGCACCTCTTCAAAAACAACTACCTATTTTTCGACACAGGAATTAACAAATTTAACTAAACGGCAGCTACCCTTTTAACCACGGGCTTCAAAGACTAGCAGCGTTGCCATATTCACTGGTATCATTGTTTTAATAGAATTAGTATCGGAATGAAAACTATGTTAATCTTCGGTCCTGTTTAAAATTGGTAATCTTTTTGAAAAAAAGTTATTTAGAAAATAGTTAAGATATTTATTATAGAATGCCGGTAAAGAGCCAAAAAATTAAATTTATTAAAAAGTTGAAATTTTTGTTGTTTTTCTTTAAAAATATAAGTTTTTCGCGGTTTAGCGAAATTCTTGGTTCATTTTTACAACGATTGGCCTGAACCATTTTTTTTTACAATTTTTTTTAACTGCCTCAAATGTAAAATTGATTTTTGGTGGAGGAGCGCCCGTCATGTTTGCTCTTAACGCTTAGATCTTAGTTGGCATTTTATAGATGAAATTGTTTGAGTAGTGGAAATGGTAGTTTTTTGATTTGCAGATTTAAATGGCATAGGTTATCCAAAAATCGTTCTGTGAATAAGCGAGATATTCCTGTTAGGAACAGTATATTTTTGAAATTTCAATATGGCACA